TGGAAGAAACACAAAACAGTCAGTCTCCCTAGGTCTGGTGCACCATGCAAGATCTCACCTCATGGATTGTCAATGATCATGAAAACAGTGAGGAATCATCCCAGAACTACACATGAGGATCTTGTCACTGATCTCCAGGCAGCTGGGACCACAGTCATCAAGAAAACAATTGGTAACACACTACACTGACAAGGATTGAAATCCTGCAGTGCCCGCAAGGTCCCTCTGCTCAAGAAAGCACATGTCCAGGCCCATCTGAAGTTTGCCAGTGAACATCTAAATGATGCAGAGGAGGACTGGTTGAAAGTGTTGTGGTCAGATGAGACCAAAATCAAGCTCTTTGGCATCAACTCAACTCACCGTGTTTGGAGGAGGAGGAATGCTGCCTATGACCCCCAAGAACAACATCCCAACTGTCAAACATGGTGGTGGAAACATTCTGCTTTGGGGGTGTTTTTTTATACTAAGGGGACAGGACAACTGCACCGCATCAAAGGGATGATGGATGGGGCAATGTATTGTCAAATCTTGGGTGACAACCTTCTTCTCTCAGCCAGCGCATTGAAATGGGTCATGGATAGGTGTTCCAGCATGACAATGACCCAAAACACACAGCCAAGGCAACAAAGGAGTGGCTCAAGAAGAAGCACATTAAGGTCCTGGAGTGACCTAGCCAGTTCCAGACCTTAATCCGATTGAAAGTCTGTGGAGGGAGTTGAAAGTTCAAGTTGCCAAATGTCAGCCACCAAACCTTAACGACTTGAAGAGGATCTGCCAAGAGGAATGGGCCAAAATCCCTCCTGAGAAGTGTGCAAACCTGGTGGCCAACTACAGGAAACGTCTGACCTCTGTGATTGCCAACAAGGGATTTGCCACCAAGTATTAAGGCAGGTTTTATGAAGAAGATCAAATACTTATTTCCCTCATGAACATGCAAATCATTGCATAATGTGTTAGATATGCATTTCCTTTGAATTTTTTGTTGCTATTCTGTCTCTCAGTGTTACAATACACCTACCATTCGATTTTTAGACTGATCATTTCTTTGTGAGTGGGCAAACATTCAAAATCAGCAGGGGATCAAATACTTATTTCCTTCAGCTTGTTTCACCAGCCATTTGGGGTTCCAGGCGCCAGCATCTTCAGTGTATGCACCTGGCTGTGACAGCTTATGGCTTCACAGCTTCCTGAATGACCCCATAGTCTTCTGGGACCTGTCACGTATCACAGAAGACTACAGGGAGGGAGGGTAGGAGGACAACTTCCGCTTCCAATCGCCTAGGCCAGCAATGGGCAAACTACGGCCCGCGGGCCGTATACGGCCCGGCGGACCTTTTAATCCGGCCCGCGGAGCTAGGCTCCCGCAAGGCCAGTGGTCGGCAAGCCGCGGCTCTTTACAAATTTAGATGCGGCTCTCCTGTGTGCCGGGCGCCCGCTCCCCTCCCTCCTCTCCTCCTCTCCCCTCCCTCCTCTCCTCCTCTCCCCTCCCCTCCTCTCCTCTCGGATGGCCGCCCCCCCTCTCGGATGGCCGCCCCCCTCCCTCCTCTCGGACGTCAGGACTCTGCAGCTGTCAGGATGTAGGCGGGGCAGCGTGACGAACTCCTCTCACAGTCCTCCCTGAAGACCAGAACGGCGCGGGAATACGAGAGGAACGCGCGGACCAAAGGTAAGTGAATTGACACAGGGGGGGGACTTACTATATGGGGGATGAATTACTATATGGGGGACTTACTATATGGGGAATGAATTACTATATGGAGGACTTACTATATGGGGAATGAATTACTATATGGGGAATGAATTACTATATGGGGGGACTTACTATATGGGGAATGAATTACTATATGGAGGACTTACTATATGGGGAATGAATTACTATATGGGGGACTTACTATATGGGGAATGAATTACTATATGGAGGACTTACTATATGGGGAATGAATTACTATATGGAGGACTTACTATATGGGGAATGAATTACTATATGGAGGACTTACTATATGGGGAATGAATTACTATATGGGGGACTTACTATATGGGGAATGAATTACTATATGGAGGACTTACTATATGGGGAATGAATTACTATATGGGGACTTACTATATGGGGGATGAATTACTATATGGGGGATGAATTACTATGTGGGGGATGAATTACTATATGGGGGATGAATTACTATGGGGGATGAATTACTATGGGGGATGAATTACTATAGGGGGGATGAATTACTATGGGGGACGAATTACTATATGGGGGACGAATTACTATATGGGGGACGAATTACTATATGGGGGATGAATTACTATGGGGGATGAATTACTATATGGGGGATGAATTACTATGGGGGATGAATTACTATATGGGGGATTAATTACTATATGGGGGATTAATTACTATGGGGGATTAATTACTATGCTTACTATGGGGGAATATTACTATACTTACTATGGATGACACATACACATCATTCATCTACTCTTGGTCCGGCCCCCGGGTCCAATATATGAACCCATTGCGGCCCTCAAGTCAAAAAGTTTGCCCACCCCTGGCCTAGGCGATTGCAGCAGAAGTGGAAGGGGGAACCTGTCAGTTTTGGGTACCCGCTCCCCAATGGTTCCAATCTTTAATGGGGAGCGGGGGAGCATTCTTTAAAGCGTAACTTCCTTTTTTGGGTGAAGCTCCGCTTTATTATACATGTCCTCCCGGCTGCCCACATAGTAAGCCAGCCTGGACTCAGGACAATCAGAGTGATGTCAGAAGGGGCTTGAGGGAGGAATTCAGTTGCCCATTGGCAAAAGAAGCAGCAAGAGGCAGGCTGTACCGCCTCCCGCTGTCTCTTCAGCCAATGGGTACACAGGGTGCTCTGTCCATCACCGTAATGAAGTCTTCATCCCATGGGCTACCTGTGTAGGTGCAAGATGGATCGGCCCAGCAAAGAAGATCCTGCCAGTGATTGAGGTGAGGGAGGAGTGGAGTGTTTTACCCTGGCAGTAATTAATGGGGACGGGAGGTGCTAGACCTGCTTGAAGTGCGTAGCTTGTGCCCCCCTTCCTTTGATACCAGTCATTGTGATGCCATTGCTGTCCTTTTAACAGAGTGAAAGTAACCTTACACCTGTGCAGTATAGGTGTCAGCTTATTGTCACCATGTTAAAAGGACAGCAAAATAGATGGCATTACAGTGATTGATATTAGGCTAGGGTTACATTAGCTAGTGCTCTGAAAAGCAATCTACAGTGGATTACATTTTAGAGTGTGGCTAAGCAGCCAAGGTCAGGCATTCAGGAAGCAATCTTGCCACATCCTGAATGCTGCGTTAAATTTGCCACAGTATGTGAATAGTCTCCTCCAGCTGTGTTTTAGACTTTAGGTGGGAGGCCAGGGGGTGGTGAAACTGCAGCTCAGCCACCTGTTTTTACCACCCCCTGGCCACCTCTGTCAATGATGTGAGGGGGCTCTTGGGACCCTGAGTTAAGGGTAAAGGAACCCAGGGACCTTAATATAAAGGGGGAACACTAGGGACCCTGATGATGGGAGGTACTCTGGAGACACTAATGCAAGGGGGGGGGGTTCTTGGGATGCTGATGTAAAGAGCAGGTAGTCTTAGGTGTAAAGGGGGAACTCTGGGGACCCTCCTTTAAGGGATAGAGTCTAAGGACCCTGATGTAAGGAGGGGGTGCTCTGGGGACCCTGATATCAGACAGGGTGTCTCTGGGGATGCTAATGTAAGGGGGGTTGACACTTGACACTCTGATCCAAGGAGGGGAACTATGGTGACCCTGATGTAATGGGAGCCTTTGGGACCCTGAGGTAAGGGGGAGGAACCCCAGGAACCTTAATGTAATGGCGGAACTCTACGGAACCTAATGTTAGGGGAAGTGACTCTGGACACTGATGTTGGGGGAGGGGATTCTGTTTGATGAGGATTCTTGGTGTAAGGGGGGAATCTGATGTGAACAGGTGAGCTTGTCCTGGTTCTGCACTCTATACGTTGTTTTGATGTTGCTTACTCGCAACCCCCGCACTCTATACATTATGCTGTTCATTACATAGTCCTGACCTAAGTGTTCATTGACCCAACTGTTTCTGATTTTAGTGAAGTTCTTCTTTAAGTTCGGCTCAGAAAAAGTGATCGCTTTTTGTGTGCAGAAAAGAATATGTGATGAAAACGTTTAAATATTTAAAAATGATCCTTCATTCTGGGGTTTATGTGTATCTTTAAGACTGTCACTTGTGACATAGTAAGTAGCAGTATTTTGTGGGTATGAGGACTGTGCTATGTGTCCAATGTATACAGCGACTAGGCACAGATTCTGTTTAAGCATCCCACTTTAATCCCCCCCCCACTGTCAGGCAAAATCTGTCCTCTGTATCACTGCTGACCTCTGAACGCTGCCTCATCTACTACTGACCCCTGTCCTCTGCCCTGCTGACCCATTTACACTGCCCTACAAACTGCTGATGCTGTCCTCTGCCGTGCTTACTCCCTGCACACTGTTCTGATGACCTCCCATCCTGTGCCCTCCTGGCATTTTTTACTGCACCCCCACATCAGTCAGGCTAGATCCAGCCCTGCCACCATAATAGACTCTGTTTTACTGTACCCAGTAGAGGTATGCAGATGTCCAGAATTTTCGGACAACCATCCCAGTTTTCTAGGGAAAAATTGTGTAGTGGCCTTGAGTGCTTTTAAGGCTAAGTTCACCGTTTCCAGAAAATATCCTATGCAGTCAAGGTTTCCCACTAGATATTAAAATACTATGCAGCTTTGTAAAGTGTTCATTATTTTTTTTGTCCTACCTGTAGGCCATTTGGCCTGAAAGCCCAGCTGAACAACTCCCAGTTAGTAATCCCCCATGTCCTGTATTGTTGCTAGAACGTGAAAATCATTGAATACTCACTCCCAGCATTACAGGAGTGATAACCAATGGTTTCCTGTCCTGGCAGGAAATGCTAGGGACCCCAGTTGTTAGCAAAGGATTAAATATGTTTGTTCCTCGGATGATCCGTGAGACCCCTTTCAAAGCGCTTTGGGAAAACAAAATAAAGACCAGGACACAGATAGACTCTAAGTGTGTTCATTTAATGGTAGCGTGAGTTGGGACTAAATACAAACAGGGACTAAGGCAGGAAGATCCCTCTAACCAGGGCCGGACTGACCATTTGGGAAGTCGGGCACTGCCCGAGGGACGTGGATCAGTAGGGGGCCCCATGAGATGCCCCGGTACCTTTTCATAGGCTTTTTTGGGTGTGGTTTGATTGTGGGCGAGGACACAGGGGCCTCATGATCCCCTATTGCCCGGGGGCCCCATAAGTTGTCAGTCCGCCCCTGCCTCCAACCAATCAGAACATTACAGCTAATGATACTCTTCATGATGATCTCATTCTAATAATTTTTCATATCTTGCAAGCTATGCTAATTTCTAATACTTGTGGAAATCAAAGCTAGATCAGCATTAGTAATGTCAATAATTATCCTTTCAGCAAACAGGTATCATGAGACAGGGAACAGGTTATCATGACCGCAGCTCATTGGCTTAAATAAACATTTTCCAGTATTGATTTGATTAGTTTTAGCTGTGAGGGAGAAAATGATTTACAAGAATCATTGAAAAACATCATAAAAAGAAGAAGTGTTTCATTCCTTTCTCCCACACCACTGGCCTACAGGTATGACATTAAAATAAACATTTTAAAAGCTGCAGTTTCTTAATATATAAACTATTTGAAACTTCCATGCTATATACGATTAAATATCATAAAATATAAAAAAGAAGCAGCCAGCACAGTATCGCAGGTGTCAATACATAGAGCTTATAAAACAAAAAAGTGCAATGCTACAATATATATACATAAATTCTAATGTCCAATAATGTGCAAAAAAAATTATTTAATGGAAACATAAAGTCTTTAGTGATAAATAAAAGTTCAAATAATTTAAAAAAAATTATGTTTTAAAAAAAAATAAATAAAAAATATAGATGATGAAATGCGTTTGGAGGAGTCAGAATGCGTGATGTCAGCATGCATCGGAATGCGGCGGCCATCTTGTTGGTTAGAAACTTACCATTTGGTTATATGGTGACATGCTGTTTTAAGTATCTTTTGATGTACGTATAATACTACGTTGTAAGGCAATAAATCCTGCTAATCATACTACACCATAAGGATTCTTTTGCTTTTTGGATGATTTTGTCCTCTCTGAGGTCTATATTTGGCAATTTATCTGAAGTATATGTTTGGGAGCACATGCCTTGATTTGGAAATCTAATGAGATGGATCCGATTGATGGCTATCTACATCCAGTGTATAGAGTGCACCTAACCCCCCCAGAGTCAGCTGTAACGTTAGTACATCATCCTAATTTGGTATCTCCACTATGCTTTTCTTGACTATCACTTAATTGTGGGGTCACATAAGTCTGGTAAGAGGCGGTATTTTTTTGAGATGCTGGTGATGGTGGATCCACAAGAAGTTTTTTTTCAATTTTTTTTTCTGAATTATTTGAATTTTATTTGTCACTAAAGACTTTATGTTTAAATTAAATAATTTTTTTGCACATTATTGGACATTATAATTTTATATATATATATACAGTGGGGCAAAAAAGTATTTAGTCAGCCACCAATTGTGCAAGTTCTCCCACTTAAAAAGATGAGAGAGGCCTGTAATTGGCATATAGATAGACCTCAACTATGAGAGACAAAATGAGAAAAAAAATCCAGACAATCACATTGGAAAGAATTTATTTGCAAATTATGGTGGAAAATAAGTATTTGGTCAATATCAAAAGTTCATCTCAATACTTTGTTGTATATCCTTTGTTGGCAATGACAGAGGTCAAACGTTTCCTGTAAGTCTTCACAAGGTTGGCACACACTGTTGCTGGTATGTTGGCCCATTCCTCCATGCAGATCTCTAGAGCAGTGATGTTTTGGGGCTGTCACTGGGAAACACGGACTTTCAACTCCCTCCAAAGGTTTTCTATGGGGTTGAGATCTGGAGACTGGCTAGGCCACTCCAGGACCTTGAAATGCTTCTTACGAAGCCACTCCTTTGTTGCCCGGGCGGTATGTTTGGGATCATTGTCATGTTGGAAGACCCAGCCACGTTTCATCTTCAATGCCCTTGCTGATGGAAGGAGGTTTGCACTCAAAATCTCACGATACATGGCCCCATTCATTCTGTCCTGTACATGGATCAGTCGTCCTGGTCCCTTTGCGGAGAAACAGCCCCAAAGCATGATGTTGCCACCCCCATGCTTCACAGTAGGTATGGTGTTCTTTGGATACAACTCAGCATTCTCTCCCCTCCAAACACGACAGGTTGTGTTTCTACCAAACAGTTCTATTTTGGTTTCATCTGACCATATGACATTCTCCCAATCCTCTTCTGGATCATCCAAATGCTCTCTAGCAAACTTCAGACGGGCCCGGACATGTACTGGCTTAAGCAGGGGGACACGTCTGGCACTGCAGGATCTGAGTCCCTGGCGGCGTAGTGTGTTACTGATGGTAGCCTTTGCTACATTGGTCCCAGCTCTCTGCAAGTCATTCACTAGGTCCCCCCGTGTGGTCCTGGGATTTTTGCTCACCGTTCTTGTGATCATTTTGACCCCACGGGGTGAGATCTTGCGTGGAGCCCCAGATCAAGGGAGATTATCAGTGGTCTTGTATGTCTTCAATTTTCTAATTATTGCTCCCTCAGTTAATGTGTTCACACCAAGCTGCTTGCCAGCTGTCTTCCCAGCCTGGTCACTGGTGATTGGCCATAGTAACCAATCCGCTTCTAACTTCAGCTTGTTCAATTAAGCTTTGGCAATAAAACCTAGAAGCTAATTGGTTATTGTGCACTGTGTACTCCAGATTCGGTGTGCAGCAGTTGTATTAAATCTCCCCCACTGATTCAGCAGAAGTGTCCACGATATATCTCGTGGCCTTGCATAACGTTGCCAAAAATTCTAGTATCTGATCCCATTCCTGTCTTGAAGTCTTTAAATCCTCTAATCATCAGTTTTAAATTTGGGTTACATATGTAGTAGCTAACACTGGCCTAAAGTTTCCAGCCTCAGCATCCCATGCCTTTTTTTAAAAAATCTGTTGTTTTATTCACAGGATTCTTGAGTATTCCTATAACTTCAAATGATAGGCCTGAATTTTTGGAAACCTGTGATAAAGATGCATTGAGATTAGGACATTTAGTTTAGAATCATCTTCAGAAAAGGGGAATTTTTTTTTAAAGACCGGAAGGGAGAAGCAACCTCTTTCCCAGCTATTTCTCCTGTTTAATTAGACCCTTTTAGAAAATCAGTAACTGGAAAAGTAAAGAACTTCCTGCAACCCTTCATACATTTTATCATGGATAGATAATTGTTTGGGTTCTTCATGAATTCATAAAAATGGCAAGAACTGCCTAGAAGTTCATCGTTTTGATCAAAAGGTAAAACATCTGGTTGCTATTTTCCTTTTGGTGTTTCCTCTGCTGACAAATTATTCCCCTAGAGGAGTCTGTTGTGTCTGGTAATCCCTGTGATAATGTTATCATCATGAACCAGCTAAGATGCTATGGATGGGGCCAACTGATTAATAGGGTGTGTGTGGGCAAAGGGGGGGTTGGGTTGAGAATTCATGTGAGTGACTGGAAGGAAGCTGGACATCTCTTCTCTCACTGAATCAATTAACCCTTTCAAAAGCCCTGGAGATTCTTGCATCATAAATTTATCAGTACATGCTTTCCAGAATGTCTTGTTCCAAGATATTTTAGTTCTGGGTCTTTCAGGGCTGGGAATTATGTAAAAATGACAATACCTTAAAACCAATATTAACAAACCTCTAGCCAGTTAAATGTAAATAAGAGACAAAGAGCTCAAACCCAAAGCCCAGGGATAATGGAAGACAAGTTTGTGAATCCTTGAAACCACCAGTGAAGGGTTTTACTTGCTATAGAGCATTTCCCACTTACACTGGAGCCTCTTGCAGGGGGTTCCACCAAAGCAGTGGTGAGGTTGTTGTGCCCCTTCTTTAGCTTTTCCTAAGCTAAGAAAACAAAAATAACTAAGGCAGACAAGTAGCCAGAGCTTTTCTATTTGGATGAGAGCCTTGTGTTTCCCGATCTATGTGGGCTGAGCCTCTCTCACTTAGGCTCCATGTACACCGGACGTTTGGAAAACACTTCTGAATGATGGAAACTGCTGGAAAATGTAGGTTAAAAAACGTCTGTTCAGGAGACCTTCCAAAATGCCCAGAATGCACTAAAAAACAAAACCTCAAAGTATGGTATACCAGGTCCATTTGAGTACTGGGAAAACGCTTGTCATGCATTTTTCATGATGAAAAAAGGCTCTGGACAGCATCTAGAAATGGAAGAGTTAAAAAAAAAATTCCAATGCAAACTCTTAGAAACATGGTTAGCCACGTTTACACGCATTTACAAGCATTTGGCGTTTGAAACGCTGATAAAATCTACTCCTGAATGCAAGTTTGGTGCATTCAAAAAAGCGACTGTAAACTCAACTGCCTGTAAATGACTGTAAATGGCTGGAAACGACAGTGTACATGGACACATAGGAAAACATTAGGTAGAGTTCAGGGGCTGCTGAAAAAAATGCAGAAAAGCTCCTAAATGTAAGTTTATCAGCTGCAGTGTACATGGAGCCTTAGATGCTGTTCTGGAAGATGATTAGGAAGAGTTATTTTATGTTCACGTGATTGATGTATCCATATAAGAAAGCTTGCTATTATGAGACATTTGTTAATACAGGATCTTATAATAAGGCCTTGTTCACACTGGCATTGGGAATAGGCATTTAGGGGGTATTTTTGCTGCTCCCCAAATGCCTAGCAAACCAGCCTACAATGTACAATATCAACAACAGACAAAACTGTTTATACTAAAAGCAGAGCTACACTGAATCTGAGCACCACAAACCAGAAATGCTATTTAATTAATTTTCAATATTCACAGCAAACTCCCCAATCTAGCAATGTATCCATGCTTTATTTAATCTTTAATCTTTTTTGAAAAACACCTCACATTCCTGACTGTGGCCATCTTGATTAAGGGCAGATGATTCATGTAGGATTTACTTCCTGGAGTCCATCTGCCCTTAGCTCAGACATGGAAGTAGGAGGGCGTGCTTAGCTGAGAAAACTTCTCCCTTCCTCCCCTCCTGAAGACTCCTGGGATGTATGA